TTGATTACAACGACGGTGGCGCCACTCAAAGCGCACGATCTGATGAGTTGCACAAAACCACTTTTCAGCCAAGAGCTATATACAGACCGAGGGTGTTTCTTATTTATTAATTTAAAAGCAAAAGGATTGTAATATCTTATAAACGACATATAGTTTCAGTTATAATATGGATAAATTTGCCCTAAAATGAATATCGTTCGGTTAAATAGCATTTAGGTATAAATATAATTGCACTTTTGTGATTAGCCCTCGGTCTGTCATTAAATAAAAAAAGAGTCACTATCTGGCTCATATCTGTTAACAACGTTAAAGTAACCTCAGCAAATAAAGACACAAGCTATCACTACAAGCTATTTGCAAAAGGCTACAGTATACCAATCACAACAATGCTTATATACAGTTGATCTACCTGATGTCACATAATTTAAATTTGATTACATGAAAAACTATTATTAAATCACTAATCCTTTTCCAACATTTTATATGATATATGCTTATCACGATGCTTATGGTCGCACTAGTAAATAAGCAACAGGGTTTCCTAAATATACATACCCCGAACAAAGCTCCCGCATCCAAGCTGTATGTGCCGTTCGTTAGCAGTTCACATAACGAGTCTAAGTCATGCTGCTGCTGGTCTACGTGCTCGCTAATCTCCGACCCGTGAACAGCCAGCGAGGACTTCTCTGCTTGTCTGTTCATAACACAATAAACAAGTAATCCAAAAAATTAAAGCATGCCTACCTAGCAGATAGGCAAGCGTGCACCACAGTCAACTGCACTCAAGCAATGTTTACACAGAGGGTCACATGCCAAAAGCATGTTTTTTGAAATTTTTTCAAGAAGGGTCGACATGGTGATCGAAACCACGAAAGGTCCAAAAAACAGGAGCCAATCTCATTCATGAAGCTTTGGAGAGGGAGGGGGGAAATTATAGACAGTGACACGCATTCTCCCATTGCTCATGAAGCTTACTGCATGCATTCCTGAAAAATCGCCACACCCAAACTAAATGCTTGCAGTGCTTTTCACAAACTTAAATTCATTAAAGTTTATTCGGTTGGTAGATAATAGATCTATCTTAGTTAATTTGTATTCAACCGTGTTGATTCAAAACGTACTGCTGACGTTTCGCCTCCTATCAGGAGGCTTTCTCAAAGCTGACTAAAGTTATCAGATTTGACCACCAGATGGTGCAATGGTCAACAGCTTGGTCCACACGTGACTGAGTCCACACAACTTCAACTCACATCACATATCAACCACAAACTGTCAGTGGTACGAGCGCTATTTGATTGTAGAGATAAGACCATAATGGAGAGTGAGGACCGGGAAGCTGAAGCGCCACCTCGAGGATGCGCTAGGTAAATGCGACTACCCCAATTGGGCACTCGACAAAGTGTGTCAACATCCTATAAGAAAACGTCCACTGAGAAACCGAAGGTGATGATTGTCCTACCATATGTTAGAGGCGTCACAGACGTAGTACAACGTCAACTCAAAATTGCAGTCGTGGCATCAACAGACAGACTGCTTGAGACCTTAAAAAGGCATTTAGTACATCCGACGGACAGAACAGATATACACAACGTTACAGACTGTGTCTAAATGATACCGTGTGCAATGTGTGGAAAAAGTTATATTGGAGAAACCAGCCGCAAACTTGAAACCCGCCTTAAAGAACATAAAAAGGACGTAGACACCGTAGCAGCCAAATCTTTCACAAGGACCCAACGAAAACAGTTGGCTACCGAAATAACCAAATCCACGATCACGGACCACGTAGCGACTGCCAACCACACCATTGATTGGGATAATTCGAAAATTATCGATCACAAGCCAATAAAAGATCAGGCGCTGGATTAAGAAAGCCATCTGGATCCGCAAGACCCCGAACATCAACCGTGACGAGGGGGATACAGACTCAGTCATGTGTGGACCAAGCTATTGACCACCACACCATCTGGTGGTCAAATCTGATAACTTCAGTCAGCTTTGAGAAAGCAGGCGTAACGTCAGCAGTCCATCTTGAATCAACACGGTTGAGTAAAAATTAACCGAGATAGTTAAATGTTGCAATTTAATTCGGCAACACTAATACCAATGATTGCATCACATATAGTTTACTCTGATATGAAGTCGTTGCTGCTCTGGCTTGCACAGCCATCGCCCGCATCTGCTGTTCGACAAATGGTCGTCATCGGCGTCTGTGGTTGAGTTATGATTGGCCCCTGCTCATCTACAATACCAGATGACGACGGTGTGCCTGCACAGAAACACGGGTATCACGATATCAGTGGATCACTCTGGCATGTAGAAAAACCTTGTGTAACTACTTTATACGCTCACTAGCAATGGGAGTCAGTGAAAACTCTCCACGCCTGAACATAAGTTGCACGAGCTGATTGATGACCAATCAATCATCAAACAATTATAATGATAAATTATCACCATGAAAATATTAGTGCAAATCTAACGTGCAACATTTTAAACGACATTT